ACTTTATGTTATTAAAGATAAAGTTTAAACAGTGATTATTTCTTAGTTAATGTCAAGTTGTCATTTTGAAACATTGACACAAAAACCCCAAAAAACAATTACCTAAACACACATTAAAATATAAACTACTTTTCAGCTCATATTGCTTGAATATGTGGCAAAAATATGGACACCATCAAATCGATTTGTATTGTACTCTATTAGGGGGACTTTCATTTTGGGGACAGTTGCTCATTAATTTTGCCTGGTGGTGCCAACAGACAGAACAAGGCAATGACAATCCATCTTAGTGATTCATAAATGGTGTGAAATATTGAAAAAAATACATCATCTTGTGTAAGTTACAAAAACTTTATATATGTGCTGTATTATTATTCTTTTCAAGCCAGAGGCCATTCCTCTATGCTTCCACTTGCCCTTCGACTCTTCCTTACTTTTTAGTAAAGAAACATAAATTATTACGATTCTCTTGCTGAATTTTTCCTCACAACAAACAACCAGGTGTGTTTTTCTTATTCTGCTGCTGGTTTGATCATTTTTAGAGACTGATCCAGGAGCTTGTTGGTTGAAGAAACATTCTGCAGTTCTGTTGGATCTCACGTCAGTGTTTTCTTTCTGTTTAGACATATTTCTCAACCAAGGTTAAATTTTTATCACTTTCTGATTGTGATTAATGTTTCTTGTTTAATTTTGCTTTTTAAAGTCCCTGACGTGTGCCGATGCCGACCTCCTAAAGCTAACCTGCGTAGCGATGACTCCAGTTGGGGGATCGCCAGCAACAACGGCAAATCCTCTTCCTGCTCGTCCAGATGTTACTGCTATGCAGATTATGTCCCTGACATATGCGCCCTACTCTATGTACAGTACATTTAACAGCTCTGATCTTCAGTCAAGTTAGACGTCAATCACGATGCCATCTGGTGGAACCCAATGAAAAGCTCACCAACAAGGTCACATCCAAGGGCTCAGCCTCATCCGCATCACTCCTTTAATCTGGATCAAAATATTAGAGGCATCATGGCTGACAGGCTTTAATCATTTTGATGTGCCGTTAAAACCGGCCTCTTTGCTCTTGTGTGCCAAACAATCCGGCGCTGATCCCAGCCGCCTGCTTTGTAAGAAGAGTCGTGTCTGGTTTTCTTTTCTGCCCTCTCAGTCTGAGCCAGTCTGACAAGACGTACCTCCATTGTGGTCAAATATTCATGTGTGGCGGGTCACGTACCGTAGAAAGAGAGCTTTCCTTTCACCGTGTTCATGCCCCGGGAGTTCTCAGCCACACACTCGTACGTGCCGGCGTCCTCCTGTTGGAAGTACGGGATTTCCAGGACGCCGCTGGCCTTCCTCATGTCCACTTTCCTGGGGAAGGGTACGCCGTCCACTCTCCTCCAGCCGATGGAGGGAGCAGGGCTGTAAAATAAGGGTTGAGGTGTTTTAGGGTCAACAGATAAAACCAGCAGTAAAAATGTTTAATGAACAATTTGTACTTCTAATGGAAATGATAAAGCATTTAAAGTGCAATCTGTGTTGTAAAAATGTTTAACCCAATTAATATCAGGATTAGTTTCTGTCCCTCACTTATTCAAATTTCATGACTTCCCTAAAAGAGCTTGCATTATGCAGTTTGGACTTTTCAACATCCTCACTGATCTAAATATAGATTTCTGTGTAAAGTCTGCAATTCAGATCCAACACTAAAGGTCGGCTTCCTGTTCACAGAAGAAAGCTGCTGAAATGCCAGGCTTCATCTCCATGTTTTTCTTTCTCCATCTAATGACCTTAACATGAAACATACTTTATAATGCCAGCCTAGAGTCCAGTTTGTGGACAAAACAACAAGAGATGTTTGAACCCACCATTTGACCAATCAGATTGGTTGCCGTTTCCAATTATCGAGGACTTGTGCCCTCTGCAAAGGGAACTGTTGGCTATGCAGAAGTGTCAGTTAGCATTTATAAAAAGGTATTACTGCACATATAAGGAACAATAAGGAGTGTATAACACAGAGAGTTCAGTCATCACCAAGATCAAAACGAGGCTAGACTGAAGCTAAATGTATCGAGTCAGGTGGTGTGTTATCAGAACCTTATGGTTTTGTGAATGGACTTTGCCTAGCCATGTGGCAGCATATGAACATCTGCTGACATGGTTTGTGTCCCACATATCCATTTTGAGTATATTCAAATTAGCTAAAACATACGGTGAATGTCTGACTAGCACGTTAGCTTCCACTACTCCAGTGATGTATTTCATTTCCAACAAGCTAATATTTCTATTACAAATAATGTAACTATCACTGTAAATATCTTCACATAATCTCACACACAACCTCATTTCACACAGTCCTCTAACTAATTCAGCTACAATCTAGTATTAAAGTTAAACTTACTAGCAAGACGAGCCTTTTCCCCTGAAGCAGTCACTGCTAGTGAAAGGCACGTCTTAGCTGTGGTTATCAGGGAAAAGGTTTTTGTTTCCCATTTTGTTAGAATAGAATAAAACGTTTTTTTCATATTTGAGTAATGTTTTTACGAGTAATTGCAAATCAGTTGTAACATGGGAGGAGAAACTACATGAGCAAAAATGATTTTAAAAATAGGATTTTAGCTACTTTAGTTTAACACATTTATTTACAAAATTGCCTGGAATTTGATAAATTCATTGAAGTTTCTTTCAGCTGTTAAATGTGTCTGACCACATGTCATTTACAGGTTTCATTCTACCACTTTGTTTTGTTGGTGTACAGCCTTTTTAACTAGTTTGATTCAACATACTGTGGTAAAAACATATCTTTAGTGAATTCCCTAATACCACACAGAACGACCACTCTGTTGACCTGGTTTCGTAGCCCAGCTTAAAACACACAGAGATACAATCAAAGTTTCTGCAACACAGCAGTGAAATCTTTTGTTAACATTCTGCCTTTAAATGATGCTGAGCTCACTCAGTGTGTACTTTGCTTACTTTCCAAGAGCGAAGCATTCCAGCTTTACAGTGGATCCTTTGGCAACATGAACAACTTCTGGAAACTGAACTTCAATCTTTGGCTCGTATTCGCCCATAACACCTGAAAGAGAAATGCAAATGATCCGCCATGTTAGTGGAAAACTGATTCTTTTCCCTTTTCAACTTAGAGAAACTCAGAAAACAAAAACTAAACTAGTTTTGGTTTCTTCTGGAGCACCCAAACTGCTGAAAATACTTGTTTCCACATTCAGTTTCTTTTAATTTAAAGACAAAGTGTCTTTTTTTCAGACTTCCAACATTCTGCGATATGAGCAGCAGTAACACTTTCTGCTCACAGGGCTGTCACAGAATGCTAAAAATAATGAGAAAAAGGGGCCAAAACACAGCACTGCAGTTGACGTATGTAACACAAATGTTCAACAGGAAAAAAAACAACTTTGAGATTTCTCAGACAATTTAAGCTCTTGCATCCAGATGCAAAAGTGGTTTGTAAGCCAGTTACAGACCACAAAACACAGCCATAAAATCCTCCTGAGTCCTGCCACAGTCTCTTCAAAGTATCCCATTCGCTGTCAGTGAAGCAGCTCTGGCAGATCGCATTGTATCTGCTGTGCATGCTAAAAACCTCTGCTTTCAAAAAGAATAACATAAAGTGTTGCTTTAGAGATTTACATGTTTTATGATGACTTGAAAAAAGTGAACATTAAATCCAGGTCTTTGCTTTTTGATTTGTGCTCTAACATGTGCCTGTTTTAGATGATTGCTGGTTACATTTTAAACCATTTACTTGCAGTGTTTGCTATGAAATTTTAAAATTCACTTCATTCACTGCATATCTGCATTGTGTTTCTAGGGTTTAGGAAGATATTCTGTTTCAGGAGAAAAAGACTCCAGGTAGCCTTCATACACCTTTACATTTACATCAGTTCCTCATAGGAACTATAGGTACTGTACTGTACTGTCTGTTAATGATGGGTTGGTCGCTCATATTTCCTCACTGAGAGTCGTCCTTCTTTATAAGGGAGTGGCAGCAAACACAGCAGCACAACAAGCAGCACAACACAAAACAGGAGGAGGAGGGAGAAATATAGAAAGAGAGAGAGAAGGTGAGAGAGAGAGAGAGTGAGAAAGAGAGAGAGAGAGAGAGAGAGAGAGAGAGAGAGAGAGAGAGAACCGTCTAACCACTTTTTTTCCCCTTTTGCTGCTCAGCTCTTACTCTCAGTGTAAGCTCTCTGCTCACAGCAGAACTTTATTTTGATTACTATGGCAGCCTTGTGACCAATCAGGTATGAGGATATGGGATCATACCACTATGTGAAAATCCCACTCTCTGGAGTGGGACAGACAGGACAGTCAGGTGAGTCCGTCCCCTCAGGTAATAAACAAAAACCCATAAATATAACTGACAGCTGTAAGAGAAGCAAAATCTGGTTGAAGAGTAATATAATAATAAATTAATAATATCGATCTGTTTCACAGATTTGGTTGCAGTGTTTTGTTTTTTTATTAATTAAACATTTAATTATAATATTATACAAAAGTTAGAATGTGTGTTTTCATAAGAAAACAAATACATAATTAAAGGAAGTCAAATGTTTCTCATATAGGGAATATTGAATGCAAAAGGATTTATCATATGAAACATTGCAAGTTATGTTAATATATGGGGCTGCAGATGATAATAGATGAAGAGCCGTTTGGGAGCTGAAAGAGTTGAACTTCTCATCACTACTGTCCATCACTGAGACTTTACTTCATGAAGTCCATGACTGTGGTTTTTCTTTTTTTTTTTTTTTTTTTTTTTTTTCAAAATTTTTTTGGGGTTTTTTTTGATTTTAAAAAAAAACGTTTAAAAAGTTTGGCGCTTTGAAAAAAAAAACCTAAAAAAAAAAAAAAAAAAAA